AACAAAATCATTGCTTTCTAATGAGGTTTTTTTGGTTTGTTCAAATCCTCATTTTTCTAGGGGAGCACTGTTCCACCAGCAGTGGAACAGTGCTTTCCATCTGGATGGCCCTGGCTTGTATTCCTGGTACACACCATTTGAAACAAACCGCACAGAGTACTTTTCATGCATTTTCTTCTTTTTTTAATGGTCATTTTAGTATCAGAAGACCTTGCATGCTCTCCCTCATCCTTTCCTCTAAGCAGGAATAGTATTGTGGAACCTTTCAACATGGAAATGACTCCACCATTTGGCCTGCCAACAGGTCAGGTGTGTGCATGTGGATTGACAGCTCTTTCCCGTATTCCTTCCTCAGCTGAGTCTCCTGCTGACCTTGGTGAAAGATCGGTGTATGCAAAAACCTCTTGGGTTTTCCTTGGTGGTAACAAGGAGTGGGTGAAACTGCAGTGTTCAACACGAACCAGCTACAGCAGAGCCTGTTTTCTTTGGCTCTTCCCGTTGAGATTGTGCTCAGGGTGAGCAGCGCTTACGTCAATTGCTTCTCTTTTGCAGGATCACAGGCTTTGCTCTCAGAAGTGAAGCACCAAACAGAGAAGAAAGCAGAAAATGAGGAACTGATGGAATTTTTGACTACAGGGGTGCAGTAAGTCAGCAAATCTAGATTTATTTGCTTTATTACTGGTCTGCTGCTGGCAATGTCTGACTCAGCAATGAACGAGCTGGGTGGCTGTGCATTCCTTCATTGGTTATTGATAAGTCAAACACAAAGCTTTCAAAGAGTCAGGATTTTTGACAAGTCACTTGCTCTTCACTGTTTGTATTGAGTGACTAAGTTCCTTTCACACAGAGGTCTGACACCTGCATGGACCAACTCTTACTTTTCAGTAATAGCAAGAAAATGCAGGGGGTGTTCCAAGTTCAGCTCTTTGGTCCTTTTCTGGGCTTAGTATATCTTGCTTCTCCTGTACTTTTTACACACATTCTCATTCCTTCAAGAAGTTCTGCATCAAGTGAAAAAGAAGCCCATGTGGTCCATGCTCTCATTCACATGTCCTGTCTCATTCTTCATGAAGTCTGCCACTGATGCTTTAGACACACTTCACATAGAAATGGTGTTTTAAGCTTTTGCAATTTTATTGACATTTTGGCTTTAGCACAACAGCTGAATTCTGATTCTCCTGTCTGCTTACAAACTTGTAAAAAGTGTGGCCTTGAAAACAGAAGAGGAAAAGAAGAATTGTCAGTATTTTGGAAGTCTCCTTATTTCAGTGCAAACGTTATATATGTCTTTAATAAAACAATGAGGCTAAGAGAGTGGACTTATTAATTTGCTTCTCTTATGAGCTATGAAACTTTCATCATTCTGGAAAATTATTTCAAGGAAAAAGCTAGAAATTGTGAATCTTAGGAGTGCAGCAAGAATGTTACTTCATGCTTAAAAATTATTTTTGTATTTAGCTGAGTCAGAAAAGCTGCTTAACTCTCCTTCTCAAAAACTGAAGGCTCTTTTGGAGGTAAGTTGATTCACTGGAGGTAAGTTGATTCAAATATGCTCTCAAGCCACTTGCCCAACGACTTCTTATTTCCACAGATTTTTATAAGGTGTCTATGTATCAAAAAGTTTTCTGCAAAAGATAAAAATATTAGAATTTTCCCCAGTTCACCTGTCCTCTAGTAAGGAATAGGAGAAATGGACAGACTGATACTGAAGTCGCCAATGTGTATTTTGGGTGGTGCAGTCTTAGCTTCACTTTTCTGCTAGTGTTATTGGCTGAGTCAGTGGAGATGGGTTCTGGGAAACCTAGTGCAAGCCTTTTCTTTCAAAAAAATGTTGATCACATTCCTCATGAATTTGAACTTCCATGGAATAAAATAATTGGGTGTATCAGAGGTTGATGCTTGTTAAAATAAATGATATTTGTTAGTGATGAAAAGTTATTCAGCATAGCTATGTTGAAATCTGCGCACAGAAGCTTGTAGAGACGTCACACTGCTGCCGGTTTCATGAAAGGGCAGTGAGCCTGGTTATACCTATAACCTTCCAGATTCTTCCACAGAATCTCCCTCTCCAGAATTCCACAGGAATTGTGAAGTAGTCTTTGCACTGACTGATACCAATGATTGTTACTAGAAGTAATTTAACTGCAGGTAATATAAAAGTCAATTTTCATAACATTTTCCAACAGCAGAGATCTCAGGCTTATTTTTATAGGTGGCAAAATTCTTGTTTCACCTGTGCAGTCAGAAACAAAATGCCTGTTTGCTGACCCCAAAGTTTCCATGGCAGTTGGTGTACTTTCCAAAGGATCCATTTCCTGTAGAGTTGCTCATGATATCTTGTTATAAACAAGAATAAATTCCTGAAACAAATCTGCAATTTAAGTCCATCGTATGCATAATTTTCCTGGAAAAATGGGGTTTTCCCTTGTTATGTGATAAGAGCATAAGAAAAACAATCATTTTAGTGTCATTTAGGGAAGCAGTCCATAATCAAAAGCAAGTTAAGCACGTTTGTCACCTAACACAAAACCAGGATGTTTATGTTAGCCAACATTATGTTTATGTTAGCCAATATTCAGCACAGACAGAGAAATTGAGGCCAAGAAACTCATGCTTGCATTCTCTGTACTTCTAAGGAAGAGTTAGGAGTATTTTTCAGGGACTTTCCAGTATTTCTCCCCATTACTTCCTCTATAGTTTGCAGTGTTTATACATTTGAGAGAAATATACTTTCATTATTGCAAGGACAGCAATCATAGACACTTGAGGAGACAAATTGCAGTTCTCCATACAAGAGCAGAGCTCCATCAACCAGACATGGGAAGGGGAGTTTGAGGAAAGGGAAATGACAGGAGGTCATGGCTTGGTCAGTTGATAGTTGCCACTTCTCTTGCCCCCCAAATTAACCTATTGGTGCAAGAAGAAAATAAAAGTGGTTTGAAGGGAAGGTGAAGTAAAGGGGCCAAGAGAATACCAGAGGACAGAAAGGATATGTAAACACCTCTGCTGCATTTCATGATGTGGAAGGCACTGAAATGAAAGGGAGGTGGTGAATGCACACAGCAGCTGTAAAGTGGAATGGTCTTCTGACAGTCTTGTAGAAAGACAGTTTAGATGCTAAATGAAGTGACCGAGGGGAGCAGAAACTTTCATTGGATTGGGAAAAGGAGAAGATGGACAACAGCATGTAGTTAGCTGCAGTGAAATCTCAGGGTCCATCCTTTCCCTGTGGTGCAAACGTCTGACCCTTAATCACCCGCTGGCCAGCTGCCTGCTGTGTTACACAGACATGCATATGTACCCAGACAGACACTGACTGCAGGCTCTGCATGTCTCCAAAGTGTGCACTTCTCCCCCGTGGCTTCTGCATGGCCTGATAGCTGGAGGGCCACAGGACACGTGGTTTAAAGTGGCAGAACTCTTCTAGCTGATGCCAAAATAACAATGGTGAAGGAGAGGACGGGCATCAAGCTTACTGAGAAGGGTCTTCAAGAAAAAACAAGCCAGAGACAGCTGTCTTATTTTATGATCACAAAGTTACCCAGCAAAAATCTCTCTGATCTCTCTGCTGTTTTATTACTATCTAGATTGTAGATAAAAGTGAAATAAGAGTGTGCCTCCCTCAAAAAAACCAGTTATACTCTAGTTATAAACAATAGTCTTTAAACTTATGCCCTTTCTCTCTTATTCCCTATTTCCTTCTGGGAAGTTTTTAAGAGAGGGAGGAATCATGTGTTCAGCACATTGCATATCGGGACCAGAATAGGAAGCAGTTGTTATACCAGGATAAGTGCTTGCTCTTTGGGTACCAAAGTAAAGGTGGCAAATTCGTGTTTTGATGGTCAGATAGTGGTCTTTTGTTGTAGTAGTTACAAATGTGAGGCTGAAGTGGACACTTAATGGTGTTTAGGCATCTGGGAGTAAAACTCTTTTGTCTGCAAGGGAATTAAAGAAGGGGCCTTGCCCTAGACCCCACCAGTCCCCATGGATTTGGAACAGCCTGAAGAGAGGAGAGTGAGCTACTTAGCCCACCTTAAGAGTCTGTGTTAGTGTAGTCAGGAGTGCCAGGCTACCATAACAGAGAAAGTTATGGCACCATGGACTTAAAAATTTTCATTTCAGTTCCAGAAATCAGGCTGGCAAAAATAAAGTAGAATTTTCAAATAAAGCTAAAGAAGATTTAAAAGATCAAGCAGAAAACCAATTTTTTTTTAATTTAAAACTTTTAATAGTACATTTTTAGGAATAATTACACTCTCATAATCAAACTCTAGGTATGTAAAATACAGTTTTTTCCATTAGCTGATGGAGTAGTTAATTAGACATACAATCAAGTACAGAGTAATGAGATTGTGAATATTTCTCCACAAACAGGTAGCAGGAATGAAAAATCCAGTAAAAATTAAATAAATTATAACTGTTTTCTTTCTTACATAGAAACTGCTCAATAAATACATTTATAAATACCACAGAAATCACAATCCATAAATACCAAATAGAGCATTACACATTCTGTAGGTTAGGTTTTCCAAGTGAGGCATTACAGTTCACAGTCTGGCCACAGGCTGACTGTGGTTCAGGAAGCTGTTGTTGACACAACATACTGGTGCGCTCCAGGGGAGCAGGAGGATTCATCAGTTTGCTGGTGAAATAGCAAAATGATCAGGCTTAGTGTGAGTAAGCTGTGCTGCAGGTGCATTGCACCTCACTGCATATGTTTGGCTCAAGTGGCTGCTGAGGGTTCTCCATGTCCTTCAGCAAACCACTTTTCCTTCAGTGTCAGGGCAGCATGTCCCATGGACAACACTGACCAAAGTGAGACTTCCTTAAATACACATAGTTAAATAAATAGATAAATAAATAAAACCATCCAGCATTAACATCATAACACTCATGCAGCATGTGGAAGATTGTGCACTGCTTGAATGAAGCTCTTCCCAAATATTTCTCTTGACAGAGGAGCAGAAACAGTTCCCAGATTTCTTCTGTCCTGGTGTTTCTTAGAGTGGAGAGTCAGAATTTTTTTGAGCCCTGTTAAGAGGTGAGAGAAGAGGATAATTTAAAAGAAGGTTCAAGTTACCACTGCTTAGCATATCACAAACAGTTTAGAGTGTGGGGTCTCTTTCCCATTCTTTGTGCCATCTTGAAACACAGGGAGAATAAAGCTGATGTTTCGAAAGCAACTGCTGAAATCCCACTGTGTGCATGCCTGGTGTCCAGCTGGGAAAGGTCTGCAGCACAAGCTTCTGCAGTTCCTCACAGCAAGAACCTCACTAGCTCAAAAATAGCAACTAAGTAAGGGGGAGATGACTTTCTTAAAGCCTTATTTTTCAAAGGGAGAAAAACACTTCTGTGCTTCTCTGCAGACAGAGTTGCTGATAGAGGTTTAGTACTGACATATCAGCTTGAGCAAGGACCCTGAAGCACAGCCAGAAAAACTAAGACTGATTCTATAGTTAAGCAGGAAGCTTCCCTGTTCTTTAAATCTGGTTAAGAAAGAATGGGAAGTATCACCATAGAATCCTACAAACTGGCTTTTTCTGGGAGGTTTGCCACTCAGCTGCGCAGAGAGAAAGGTAATGGGACTTACCTGGCCATAATTGCCTTTACAATCAGCTGTACCCAGGGAGCAGTGGGCTCCAAGCACACCTCTTTGCCATTCTTCAGAGTAGCTCTGCAAAACAGGGAATAAAGAAAAGTCAGGAAATTACTACATGGATTTGTTTTACTCACAGAATGTAATCTTGCATTTTTAGATCAGATAGTATGAATTAATCCCAGCTACTCCAGGTTAGACTTGGCTGTTTTGCTTTATACAACTGAAGACACCAGAACCATCCTGAACTGTGAGTCTCTGTGTCTGCTCTCAAAGCAGACACATATTCCCAAAAATCTTTCCCTCTATTTATGAATATCTGTTTCGGATGCATTTATGTTACTAAAGCTTTCTTACACAATTATTGAAACCTCCAGTGGTGAAAAGGTTTGTTTGAGCAGAATAAAAATTTTAACATTTTAGTTCCTTTGTGCTGTTCAGACCAGGTTAGGTTGGTTCACTGTTTCCCTAAATCTGCCTACTGGAACTTAGTTTTTCTCCTTGAGTCTGCCTGCCTAATAAATGCAGGATTCAAACTACATCGTTACCTTGTGTACTAAGAGCTGACAAGTCCATGAAATTCACATTCCACTACTAGAAATATTTCATATGTCCCTTGACAGCTGAACAATGGTCAGTTCAGGAATATGTAAGGTCATAGGGATGTTGAAAAACAGGGTGTTTCACTTAAAACTATCCCTCCCAAAATAAAAGCCAAGTCTGGCTGCATGAGGTCAGCATGCTGGCTGTGGTGCTTGTGAAGCCTGAAAGCCCAGCAGCAGTGGCAGCAGTGCAGGGGAAGGGGAGGGAACCTCTTGCAGAGCTACTTACATGACTTCAACGTTCTTGCAGTGGGGGCCGCTCTGTGTCAGCTTCACATCCTGAATGGATTTCGGGGGAATGAACCCGGAATGAGTGGCTATGCACTGGCACCGCAGCTCGGTTCCCATCCTTGCCAGGGTCCTGCCTGTGAGCACAAAAGGCACATTGGGGTTTGGCAGGTGCTCTTATGGTCCTTGTATCAGACATAAAGCACAGCTGCTCTATTGTAACAAGATTCTCAGTTAAAACACTGCATTTGTCCAAGCTGCCTAAATCCTCATCTTATGGGGAGGGTTACTTGGGTTCCAGGGGAACTGATGCCCAACTACTTTGGAAACTAAATTAATAAATCTTTTAAAAATGAACCCACATATTTTGCAGTTACTAACCATACTGACTACACAGTATGGTTAATTGCATTGTTTTAATATCTGGATAAAAAAACTTAGGCCACTCTGCAGAAGACAGAGCCCTAGATTTGTTCATTAATTGCAGGTTTTCCCATGTTCTATGTTAAAATTGTTTGCTCTCCGTTTCAACTACGTATTACTTGCTTGAGGCAGCATGGTCACTAAGCAACAAATATGAGATGATAAACTGTTATTTGTGTGGGAAGGGAGAGAAATATTAAAGCACTCCAGAACAAAAATCTGTCTCTAGCCACAGAAGAACCTGTCTCTAGCCACATACACTTCAGCAGAAACAGAAATAAAGCAAATGCAAGTTGCACCCTTAAAATATTTTCCACAAGATGTCAGTAACTCTTCAGTCTGAGGTCTACATGGTAGATTTCTGACTGAAGAGAGGTTCTGAAAATCTCTCAAAAGAGACTAACTTAGTGAGACAAATAGAAAGCTACCCTGCAAGGACAAGCATCTCAATTGATGCCTCGGCAAAACTGCAGCCAGGGGGACTTTGGGAAGCTTTACTTACCTTGAGACACAGCTGCTGAGATCAGGAAAAGAGCCAGGACAGCTACGAGTTTGCCGTTCATGGTTGAACAGGAGTTTTTCGCTGGCCTGTTTAGGTCTGGTTCTGTGAGCTGGAGTCCCAAAGGATTGTTGATTCCTGCTGTGTGTGAGGACTGTTGATTCCTGCTTATATACCGTTTTGTGCCCAGCCTCTGTACTCTGCTGGCACAGAGATTGCGTTACAGGAATTTCCCAGATGCAGTAAAAATGAGTCACATGACTATTGTGAAACTTCTTCCTAGATGACGAGGAATTATTCTGCAAATGCAATTAATACAATGCATTAATTTGTTAAAATATGTCTATGATAGTCACACATTCTGATTATTTTGGTAGACTTGTAAACTTTGTGCTTTTTCTAAAGCATATCCTTATTTAATAATGCAACTTTAGAATGGTTTCAGTTACATTTATTAAAATAATATAATAAGTTAATACATAATATAATAATAATAGTTTGTCACTTATTATTTTCTTCAGGGTTATAACTGTTCTTTGTAGATGTATCAGGTCTATACTTGAGATACTGAATTTCTTATTCCCGCTTATGGTGACAGCTTCTGCTTACCTGATACAAGCCATCAGAGTGGAATTCAGGCAGTGCTGAAATTACTGAGAAGCTCTTTACTGGGTCATGATTTTACCTCAGCATTATTTTGACATAAAATATTTTCATTTTAGTTATTTTCTTCGTCTGTTCAAGGGGCATGGTTCAAAGTAAATTCATCACTAATTCTTTGTGTCTAATAAACGCTGCAGTATTCAAAGCTTTCTGCAGGAAGCAGATGCTGAATTCTGAATGGATTTGAAAATCATGCCTGTACTTTTCATGTTACACGTGTTAATGGATGATAAACAGAGGAAGCTTTATATGCAAGTGAAACAGCATGACCTGCTGAACCCAGCTGATTTTGTTTCCTCCGTAATTCCAGACATTTTTAACAAGTATTTTCCGAAATCTTTTCAGTGACAGCAACCCTAGGTCCTAGCAAAGGGACACAAGAGTGAGAGCTATGGCACTGTGCAGAGTTTTCTGTTAGGGATCCTTGTTGTATGAATGCTGAGCTTCTATTTGCTGTGGCTGGGGATAATAGCTTGCAAGGGAGAAAATTCCAAGGGAGGATGGGGTCAAATGCTGAACTTTTGCTCGAATTAAGATCTGTATTTTCAAACCCAGCTGGAATGTGTATGATTGGGAGAAAGCCTCCTGTTTCAGTGCAGTAAAAACACCGTCCTTTTGACATGGTGACTTTTGCTGCTTGTAGTCTTCAGACTCAAAGCTTTGTGGTTTTGGGATCTGTGGATTGAATGAGGTACTTCTTCCCAAATCTGGGGCCTTCATAGAAACTCAATCATCTTTAGCATGTAAAGCATTGCAGTTTATTTACAGTAAGAATGTTTGTTTGCCCATAATTTATTGTAGTTTCCGGTGTACCACTTATCATTAACTTGATAAGAGGAACTTTGTGATAAAAATTAATTTGTTTCCTATTGCTGCATGGGCTATCCCAGGAAAAGATCAGCAGCTTTGTCTCTCCTAACTCTTGCTGACTATTAAGTTGACAAAAGACACTGACTCCTGATAGTGCTGCTCCTTAGCTGTGTCTCTTAGACAACTTCAATGAAAAATACATTTACTTCTCTGAAGATGTGAATCAGGAGAGGGTTTTGCTAGGAACTTAGGGTTATATTTTATTGCTAATGTTCTATTATGATGTATATGTTGTATGGTTTCACTGGTGCCAGATTGTAGATGTTGGAGTCTTAACCAGTTTACTTGGAAGGTTTTGCTGTTTTTTTTTTTCTTTTGAGTTCTCTCTGTGTCTCCACATATGTATGCACACACACAGAGGTTAAATTAACATTTGATTAGAGATCACACTTTTCTTGGTTACTACTTGCAGCCTTATTATATAATTTTGATGTGTGCTGAAATGTTATTAATATTGAGGAAATAAAAGAGAATTCCCCTTCAAATCCCCAAGTGAAATCAGTGAGTGCTTGTGCTCCTGATCACCAGGCTCAGCTATTTCCTGTGTGTGGCAGTAACGGATCTGCAGAAATCTCCAGGGCAGAAGTGAAGCCAAGAGCCTGCTCTACCTATGATGAGCCCTGCCCTGAACTAAGAGTGAGTATCTGTCTAAAAGAGCAGGATGTTTATAATGGAATATAAATCCCTGCACTTCTTCACCAAAGTTGCAGTTTCATTGGGACTGTGTGAAGGGGGAGTAAGAGAGACAATTTGAGGTGTGAAAACGTTGAGGCATGAGATCAAGCCCAAAGGCCAGGCACTCCTGAGCTGTGTTTCTGGGAGTGCCATGTTTTGCCCAAGCTCTCCCTACATCCCTTCAGCACTGTGCCCAGGATCTCATCCAGGCTTTTGTCATGGCAACTACAAATCCATTATGGGATTGTGGCAGCTTGTTTCCCTGCCAGCCATCAGAGATGACTTGTGCAAATGGAATTGCTGCTCCTTTGGAAGGATGGCGTCACTGAGTGAGCTGATACTGCCGCGAGCAGAGACCTTCCTTCCATGCTAAACCCTGTAAAAACCACGCTGGCAGGGAACAAAACAGCACTTACTCAACAGTCTGACTACTGAAAGACTGCTGAAAAGGAAGCAAATTCCTCCCGTGCCTATGTTCTAAGACAGGATATAGCTTGTGTTCCCCATGTTGCAGGATAGAAACTAGTGGCTTGTTGTGACTCATCAGTTGTCTAATAAGCACAACAGTCAAAAGGGCATCTTTAGGATCTTGACTAGGACCCGTTAATCTTTGCATGTAGCAAAGGATGCCCCTGCACAAGGGACACACTAAGGGGGGTTACGGTTTACTGAGGCTGAGCTTCAGTCCATAACTGTTTGAGTCGCTCCAGGTCCAGAGGAATGCTCCAGCTCCTGAGCTGATAAATTTACCCTGAGAAAATTAAGAGTCTGTCTTGTTTTAGGGAAATTCCATCCTCTCCCTTGAGAAGTAGTGCAAACAGACCCAGAGGCCCAGGAGGCCAAGCTTTTGCTGGAATGAGGTTTCAGCTGGTCTGTCAACTCCTGCTGCCTGTGTATCCTCTGTTCCAGCTACTCTTGTACTCAGGGAAAATCTCACTCTGGCCTCTGAAACCACCTCCTTTTGCCCATAAGGGCCTTGGCATTCAGCTGCCATTCTACTTGAGCTGCAGAGGGCTGAAGGAACAAATACAGGAGCTGGGAAACAATCGCTTCCGCTGCTCAGAAGCTGTGCCCAGTGTTGTGCAAACACTTGTGGAAGTCTGCAATGAGGCAAACGTTAGGGAACAGACACGCAAAAAGGAAAATATCTGCTAGACATAAGAATTGCTATAGGGGGAAGTGATAGTAAGGAAAGGAGAAAGGATTAGGTCAGCTTGTGGGGTTTTTTCAAACTTCAGTGTTTAAATATAGATGGTTATGTAGCCTTAGTCAGATCACAGCAAGTGCTGGACTTTCCTGAATCCCTCTGGAATCACAAAGTAGCAGCTTTTAGGTTGATTTGCCTTTTAATGTATGTATTTATAAAAACAGTAGTATGTTACTGCATATTCATTTTTGATAAGTATTTCAGCTCTGCTTGAAAAGATTCAATTCTGTATTGTAGCTTCCACTAAAAAATTTGTTGTGGATTCCATGAAATGCTTCATTTGCTCTAACTCAACATGAAAATGCATTGAAAATATTAATATAAGGTGTAAAGTAATACAAGAAAAGGATGCATTAGTATCACCTGCAGTGTTAACATAAAATACTAGAAAATATTAACAAATATACCTACTACAAATAAAATTTATCTATGTGCTATGAACAGAAGAGATACTAAGTCCACCTAGAGAATTGTTAGGCACCAGCACTTGGGCTTTACCTGCCCTATAAGGCTGCATTTATTGCTTATCTTGCATCTGCCTCTCATCAGCTGGGCCAGAGGCATTTTCTGACTATGCAAGTAGGACCTGGAAGTGGCAGGAGGAAACACATGGTGAGTTTGATGAAGTTTGTGCCAGGAACTTTTGATTAAATTAGAGGCGGTCAGTGGCCATAACACACATCACACCCTCATCTCTCACTCTTATAACTGAGATGTGTTTGGTGTAAAAGCTGTAATATGTAAATTTGATGATCCAATGGATCTCAGGTTGATGGACAGGTAAAACCTTGCTGCTCACCAAAGCCTGGTGGTGCAGCTGCAGGAAGGAACAGTGGAGGTGTTCAGTCAGCTCATGGATTCACATCTGAGTCCTGAGCTGCTTCCACGAGGGGCCTGCTGGGGGTGAAACTCCAAACCCCACTGCCCACCCTGGGGATCACAAAACTGACCCCCACAGGGCACTCATGGCATTTTTGAGTCCTCCATCACTCTCACCATGTGTGCCTAGTCTGATCAATGCTGCTAGAATCTGCACTTCAGCGCTTTCTACCTCAGAAATCAGATTTATATGGTCAGCCATAAACAGTGTGAATCAAGTCACTAAGACAAAACATCTTTTTGACTGTAGAAAGAAATTAACAATAAATCAATGGGAATTGACATATCAACAGTAGTGTTAAGCCATGTAACCATTCACCATGACCCTGGAAAAACAACACAGAATAAATATGTAAGCTGCAAAATCCTTTTATATAACAAAAAATGTGGTCTGTTAGGGTGTCAGATAGAACATGGTGCTCATAATGCCAAGGTCACAGGTTCAATCCCCATATTGGACTTTCACTTAAGAGTTGACTTGATGATCCTTCTGGGTCCCTTCCAACTCAGACTAATCTGTGAACTAACGGGAGAGAAAAATATTGACCTAATATTTTTTGTTATATTGAAGTAAATAATGTGTTTTTTTCTTTGGAAAGATGACTTCTAAACTTCTCTTGGTATATACGTGTATGTGTGTCTTTCTGCCTGCATCTTCCTGTCTGTGAGTGGAAACTGCAGCACAACAAACAGAAGTAACAAGGGTGAGGTAGTGTCTCTATTTTTAGCTGCTCCCTTCTGAAAGCCCTGAGCTCCCAGTCTTTACCCCGAGGCTTACAGTGACTTGGA